GGGGGGGGGGGGGGGGGGGGGGGGGGGGGGGGGGGGGGGGTGGGATGATGACGTGGTGCAAGAAGCTAGGTTGAGATATCAGTTGAATATTCAATTGATTCACCCGCCAGGCGCTACTGCCAACCGAAAATCACCACCGATTTTTGTATAGACATACATAGCACGATGCCAGTACAGATGGAAATCACAGGTTTGAAGTCCCCACTTCACTCACCATTGCACACTTCACTCCGCAGTGCTCACTCTACTCCATTAATCTACCCCACCAAAATACTGCTTTATATAAGAAGGAGATGTAGAATAGAGCTGGGCTGCTCATATCATCACTATCACTACATTTATCGTAAACATAGGTTTCACGGATGGGCAGACAGACAAACCGAAAAACACCCAAACCGGCAAAGCGACGCATCAAGTTACTGCTTTATAAGTGAGAGTTTACTCAAGAAGGGTTAGCTATAATATAGCACAGGTAATCACTTATTATCTCATTCCTTTTTACCACCTGTAACACCTGACGTCCCGTTGATCATCAATTTCCCCGAGCGAGCGCCAGTAAGGTCTCCATTCGTCCCTGTCACGAGCTAGAATGGTCCGGTGAATCGTCTATGCTTCAGGGACACGAGGCTCGACATTCTTTTCATTCAGAGCTTTCATGAAGAAGTCTGATCATCGCGTTGGCGGCCGTCCTCGTGTTCGCTTGACGTCCCGATGGATCCAGTCAGTAACCGCCCTGGTCCAGCGGTCATCACTATATCGCATAACGCGTACGGCCCACCTGATCTTCGAGTACTTGGAGTAATCAACGACTCAATGCTTTTCGTTCGATGACAGACCTCGGAACTGTGGATTCCCATCTGCACTTGTGGGTATAGGGATAGTCCGAGCCTTTCCAAAGTGCGTTGAGTAACTCTGACAGCATGCTCATCCCGCTATCGTGGGTGTGACGCAGTAGGAACGAAATTGTCGCGTCGGGTCGAAATGAACGCCGCGCGCGAAAAATGTAGCAAAATGCAGCAGCAGGTAAGAAATACAGTAACAAAGGAACTACAGTAGAATCATGCCTAGAATAATGATCGCATATCAATTCAGCTGTATGGAGAACGCTAGAGCTGCAATAACGCCGGATGAATAGTCCGCGACAGCCGCGTGCGGCGAATCAATTATACAGAATCATTCCTACTGCCCGTCTCCCTGCTTTCGTGAGTCCAAGTTTCCGAGGCGTACGTAATAGAAGGAAGGAGAGCAGAGTCGAAAAAGTGAGCGCGGAGCCATATGTTGTTTGTCTCTTCACTGCTCCTCAATATTCTTAAATGCTCCCCACGTGGCGCGTTTTCTTCTCCTCAGCTTCTGAGCTAGATTGTTCATCATATTGACTTCCCGGCCCAAATGGACAATTATACATAGCCAGAGCATTCAGGGAAATTCGTTCCTCTTAGCGTAAAGGGAGCACCAGGTACCAATCCGTTCTTCATGAACATCGTCTTCGTTAAGCTCAGTCCCTCTCCAGCCGATCTTTTCACAAGTACTGTCAAACTCGGCCAGCATTCGTTTCGCCTGCTCGATGTTCCATGTTATAAGCATGATGTCGTCTGCAAAGCGGAGGTGATGTAAATAGCGGCCGTCGACGATCACTCTCATGTCTTCCCATTCCAAACGCATGCTGTTCTCGGGAGCGGCACTGTATAGTTTGGGCGAAATGGTATTGCCCTGTCGAACCCTATCGTTGATGGTGAGCGAGATCCTGGTTGAAGTTGTTGTAGAGCTCACGGAGCATTCTAATATATTGGGTAGGAATACAGTGGTTGCCCAGGGCCTCAATTACCGCTTCTGTCTCGACGGTATCAAAGACCTTCTTCAAATGCATGAACGTAAGACAGAACGGCATTTTGTACTCTCGCGATACTTCAATACTTCGGCAGGTAGACGTGGCTGTCGAAGAGATCCGGGTAGAAGTCGTAGCTGACCTTCTCGATTGCCCTTCGAGATGCAGTAACATCATCATCTTTTCATTTTCGACGGTTTCATCAGGACGACGAAGGGAGGTCATCTTGGTCTTGTAATTGGCGAAGCTCCGTCGGGCTTTGCGAATGCTCTTTCCGGCCTCGGCGGCTTCGTCCATGACTGCTGCTCTTCTCTCTTTCAGATTTCCTTTATGGCTTCTCTGCATAGTTTTTCAATTTTGGAGATTTGTTGGTGATTGCCTGCGGTCCGTGCGATTCCACGCTGGCGTATCAGCTCGAGTCTTCGAAGATAGTCGTCTTTTGGCTACTTGTAAACTTTGTGCTTTCATAGTACTATCGTAAAGATGCTCGGCGAGCCGGTTGTATTCTTCGTCGATGTTGTAGATAACGGAATCTTTCCATTTACTCGCAAAGGAAGCGAGGTTGTCCCAGTTGATGGATGTCTTGGGGCTTCGTTTCCTAAACTTCATAGCTCTCTATCCACGCACTGAGAAGAGGAATCTAGCGCGGAGGCGGTGGTCCGATCTCGTGTAGAACTTCAAAACAACAGCGACTTCAGCCAGGCAAAATTTTCGATTGACGATGATGTGATTTATTTCATTATGGAATCGCCCACCAGGTGACTCCCATGTGAGTCGGGAATGAAATTGTTCCTGGAACTGCGAGTTACCATGCGAGGTGGTGTGGGTCGACATGACAAACTCGGACAACCTTCCACCCTGCTCGTTCCATTCCGTGTGTCCCGATGAGGAGCTCTTCAGCCGTTCTTCTGGGGCCGCCAATCTTGGCGTTGAAACTGCGACGATGACCTCGAAGAAGGTATAGTCTTCGCTGTAGAGCCTCTCCAGATCCACATAAGACGCTTCCAACTATTCTTTTTTGTTGCTTGGTGTCGGTGGGTAGGCAACGAATATTGTTAGAGCTGGGTTGAGCCACATCTTAATCGCAAACTGGGTTGAGCCACATCTAATAGCAAACGTCTGATTGGGTTGTGAAGCTTCCGGACAAATCTATGTTCGTGGCCAAGTGCGTGTTGACAAGGACGTCTACACCGCCGACGCCTTTGCTGTCGCATGTTCCGATGAACAGTTTTTCTCCAGTCTCAAATACGGCGTGCATCGGGCGATGCCTTCTCGTCTCGGTCAGTCCGATGATGTCGTCAGGTGATCTTTCTAGCTCGCATCATCAGGTCTTCTATAAGCGCTTTCGATGCAAGCGTCCATGCTTTGAAAAGATCGTCATCTTACACCTCCTTTTGGGCCGCCTGTTTTGGCCCTGAGATTTAAGCAGTCTCTCCCGAGCGACCCAACGCTAATGTAATCGGGGCTTGCTCAGGTTCAGGAGATGAAGCTCATTCATATTAGTGTTTTTGGCAAATAGGTTCCCAATGTGTAGCTTGCCAAGCTCTAAAGTAAGGGTTGGATTGACTCCGGGTGCTAGCCAGGCGGTCCCGAAGTGGGGACTGGCTCTGTTTTTGGAGGCGGCCCCCGAATCCCAGATATGGTCCTTTAGTGAGAGAGAACCTCCAGTGTAAATATAATCGGCTGAGCTAGTTCCTTCCTTGAGTTCTTCAGGGTTCCACCGCAGACGCACAGAACCCGCTGTGAAACGCGGTGTGGTTAGAGGTATGGTGTTTTCCAGGTCAGCACTTACTTTCCGCACTATGAGACATTCATGTACCAGCACTTTCAGCAGAAAATTCGGAAACTTGTTTTCAAACAAGGCTTCTTCTTTGAGGTCTAGACACATTTGTTTTGTTTTAGCACTCTCCGCGACCTGTTGCCTCGTTCTCTATCTGAACCATTCCCTTCTCACGTCAAGTCGAGTATCTTAGAAGGACAGAAACGGTCGCTCAGTAGTTCTTCGCAAACGCCATTGCTTACAACAATATGCCATGCCTTTTTGTCCATGGCCGCTCAGGTCAGAAACCTCGCGGTGACCCAGAGATTTGTTGTCCAATTATTTTGCAGTACGCAACCTTATAGAGGAGTGTGGCTACTAATGGTTTCAAATCTTTGTACCAATACTGTTGCTAATGGTGCTGCATTCGTGAACACCTTTCGGATATCACGAAGCAATTCGATACGCATGATCTCGGCAAAAGCGATTGAAGTTGTGGATGTCTCTCTAGTTATCATGAGATTGTGCCGCCGTCACTATTTTTTCTTGCCTGCCACCAAAATAATGTGCTAACCTTACACCCAGCTCACGTTTCCAAAAGAGTATGTACGCGTGCCTTTCAGTGCTTCGCCTTCGCGTGCCCATTACAATTGCGCAGGTTAGTGAAGAAATATGCGAGTGATTTTGAGATGCCCAAGCAGTCAATTTGTTCCCGTCTAGTCTCATCAATGATAGCGGGTGTTCGTTGTTCCTGTTATGAAAAACATCCTCGAACAAAACATTTTGCTATATCACTTTGAGTCGAATCTGTTTCATCCCCTCCTGTGACGAAGTCGGAAGGCTCGACTAACCCGCTAGCCTTTTCAAAAAGAATGGCGCAATTCAGATTACAAAACAGTAGAAGAGGATAAACAGCATAAGCAAAGCAATGGAACTGGTTTTCAGCAATCACGCACCACGAGGGGTAAGATACGATTATCCAGTAAAAGTTTACGGTAATCGCCACGAAACCGCAGCCGGTCGGTGTGGAAATTTTTTACGAAGAGTCATCCCATGGAGACCGTCTCTGTACACACGAATCGGGCTACTGACCGGGGAGGATCCTAAAATTAAAGGAAGCCACTGGTTGTCCCTCTTTAAATTGCGTGGGTCTAAATCATCTCAGGGCTGTAAAGAGTTTTGTGGGCTATTGGCGAATTGTTTTGATCCCTTCAGGCTTTTACCTTGAAATTCCTAGAGCAGTTGTGACGGAACCTCGGCCCAATAGAGCTACATACAAACCTCGTGAAGGGTTCAAGATAACAACCCCTCATATTAATCTCTCTACGCTCTCATGGCCCTTCCAGGAACCGAATGCTCTATCTGTCCACGATGTTTATTCCTTCGCTACAAATCCAGCATACCACAGAGTCAACTATCCAGCATGGGTTATCGTTATCAATCGTGTGTTCTCGCACGAATCCGAGTTTAACTAGGCGCATCTGTTAAAATAACTTGACATTACTCTATAGGTGATTCATACAATGTGTATCTGAACGTTACTTGAAAAACTTCCAACTCAAACTATTCAACTTACTGGGGAATTCTACTGCAGAAAAGGTTGTTGTCACAGTGTAGATTTGCCGAGGTTACGAATGTGCATATTGAGAATAAAACAAGTAAGCGGCCAACCACCACGGTCATTGAGTAGAAATGAAGGGGTCTTTATTTCATTCGAGTAATTTTTAGCGACTTCTCATGTAAACACTTTGGGTTGGTTTATATTCGCTCACGGTTGTTCTACGCGTCACTGGCTCTTGCTCACCTTCAGATGCATTTCTGCCTTCATAAAATTAACGGTTCACATCCCAGCGATGTCCATTTTCGAAGTGTCAACTGCGATTTTTTAATTTCTAACGGGTACGCTTCCCATGAGCCCACGAGGTTGTTATTGGTCCCGCCTACGAGCTCCGCGGGGGCGGAGCGTGCGCGGGAAATTTTGAGCCGCAAATTCGTAACCCCTGTTTACAAGGACAGGCGGGATGAAATTGGGAAGGAGTACAAGCGACAGTTTGGGAATACTTATGGCAGGTGGCAGGGCGAGACTCCGCCTACGGGAGTTGGGCTTTGCGCAGAGTAAATGTTTGAGCGGAGAATCGTGAGTTCTGTGTCCTTGGACCTGTAGAGTCCAAACTAGGTAGCATTGCAGCTTTTCGTTATAAGCTTTTCGGTGGAACCTCGACATTTAATAAGTGTTGCAGGATATGACGGGATCGTAGGTACTCGGTGACAGGAACCAATAATAACTGATAAGAGAAGGTAAAGAGTCTGAGAGAGCAAGAGCCAGCTACCGATCAAAATCCTAACCATTCGGTATTTACGATGCTGCTTCGACTGTTCAATATGTTTCATTCGACTAGAGGGCATGGTAGAGTAGGGTGACAAAAGTGAGTGGTAAGTGCAAAGTTAGCAATTAGCGGCGCTGCGATGAGCAGTTGGGGATTAATTTTTTGCTTTTAGATTACGACCGCTACCCAGTAGGATTTCGACTCAATAAAGTATCCTCTTTGGTCGATATCATATGCGACAAAACCTTGCCGAGCGCTAGTAAACTGGAATTCTTAACTAATGCTATCTACGTGAAAAAAGATACCTTGAAAACATCTAGTAATGGTGTTATCAACACACGGAACATTTGTGAGTACCGCACACGGCTTTCGTTGCTCAACGTGAGAGAGTGCAAGGGATTGAGATTTCCAATTCAAGCCGTAAGCGTAGACTTCTCTAAATACCATTTGCTCTGCTCCGTTACTATTGTGTCAAACTTCATGTACAGGGAAATACTACTTGTTCAAAAGAAGGGGTGGGGAGTTAGCCGATTACTACAATTTTGCCTAAGAAAGAGGGAAGCCCGGCGTTAGTCGGGCGAACCGACTGGTATGTTAATCTTGTTAGAAAGCGTTCGAGAAGAACACGCTGATCATGAAAAACCCTTCTGTCTGACAATTTGTAGAAGAGGTTTTGATTTGTAGAACCGTTTATTCGACCCTCAACTAACGACGGCGTAGCGAAAGTGAATGCGTGTGTTGGTATGTTTATTGGTCTTTAGCTTTTCTTTTGGAGCGCAAACAGGGACGAATAGTGAAGATGTTTGAAGGAAATTCAAGATGGGAGGTCAGAAAATCCAAAATGTGTTATAGACACTGGCAACAACATTCGCGATAAGCGAAATTATCACTGGTCGGGTTTCTTATTTGTCTCAATAGAATACAGCAATAAAACAATATAGGAAAAGAGGAACTATACTGTCTACACAGCACTCTGCCGGTAGCATATCCCTCAGTAAGTACGAATCGTGCACAATCCGATGTTAACAGTTGTCGCATCCTCCGGCTATACAATAATCCCTGCCAACGTCGTCTATACACTAGAGCCAGATCCTTGCTTTACGTTGCCCACTATAAAAATCGCTTGCTTTGCACGGTTGCCGCGAAAAGAGCGCCTTTAGTTCCCAAAGAAAAGTGAACTGAGCGGTTTAGCCACAGAAAAGAGCGGCTCC